CAGTGAGTTGCTGCTGCTGTTGTTTCAGTGCAACTTGATGCTGCTACCCACGGTGCAAAGTGGGTGCTGTGCAGGCTGCATCATGTTGCCTTCAGCACACTGTCACATTACTGCCTGCCGGGAAAACTGAGACCTCGAGATGTTAAGGGACTAACTCAGAGTAGTGAATTATTTAATACGGCTCGTCTAACCGGTCTCTGTAATTCCTACCAAATGACTTTGCCCTGATGGGTCTAGATAAGAAAGTGGGGGAAGATACAGATGGTAGTATACAATTCAGCTGTGAGGTAGTGCCATCCTACTAAGTATAAAGTGAGCCATTAAAATACATAAATAAATAAAAATTCAAAAGTGAGCCATCTCAGAAGGGGGCAGGGGGTAGGATTTCACTACCAGCATGGGCCAGGGATGAGGCATATCCTGGGGACGTCATCATCCCTGCCCAGTGAACCTCCTTGATCCAGGAACACACCAGAGGAGCAGCAGCAGGGGCAGAATCAGAACATGAGACAGAGCAGTGGACTTCCCAGCGCACAGAGCAAGTCAAGCTGAGTGCCTTTGGTGCAGAGGTTGCTTGTGGAATGGGGTGCTTCTGGGCACTACCTTAGGAGACATGGGTGTGCTGGCCCACAGAGTTGGCACTGAGTTCAGATGGAGACTTACAGCAGAGTGGCATGCCCTTTGGGCATTTCCTAGTAACCTGTAAGAGCTTTGTGCCATTGCCAGAACAGGGCAGAGGCCAGGCCAAGATGCTGAGGGCTAGAGAGGGGCCTACCTGCAGGCATGGCAGGGGAGTGACTATCCTGAATGAACAATAGTATCCTGGGTGCTTCTCACCTGAACTGTTACATGGTGATTTCCTGAATCAACCCCTTACTCATGAATATTGTTTGTGAGTTGTGTGTGACTCTTGCAATGAATTATAGAACCTTGCTGACAAAGTAGAGAGTGCTATGTGAGAGTGAGACAGAACACTGACCCAGGGTTACAGCTAGGAAATGGCAGAGCTGGGAATCCAATCTGGAGTTTTTTCATCCAGAGCTGCTCTTTAAAACACAAACAAACAAACAAAAACCTCAGTGGCATCGAGGCGCTGACAACTCATAGTGACCCGATAGGACAGGAGAGAACAGTTCCTGTGAGTTTTCAAGACTGCGTCTGTTTACAGGAGTAGAAAGCCCTATCTTTCTCCCCTGGAGCAGCCGGTGGTTTTGAACTGCTCCCCCAGCCACTCTGAAGGCAGAGCAGTGACAGCATGTTTCCATCCTAGATTGCAGTCTTAGACAGCGTGAGACAGTTCTCCTGTTCTGCACTACAAGCATGCTAGGGGTGGAGATCAACTTGGCAGCAATGGGTTTATACAAAAACAAAAAAACCCTGTTGCCATTCAGTCCCTTCCAGTTGATTTCCACCCTACAGGACAGAGTAGTACGGCCCCATAGGGTTTTCAAGGATGTAATCTTCACTTGGGATGAGCCCTGTTGGTATAATGGTTACTCATTGCCCTGCGATCCTCCTGGTCAGTAGTTCGAAACCACTGGCAGCCTGGCGGGAGAAAGGCTGTACTTTCTACTCCTGTTAACAAAGTTTCCGGAACCCGCAGGGAGGGAGTCATTAAGAGTCAGCCCTGATTCCATGGCAGTGCACTTGGGTTGAGAATCTTCCCTTAAGCAGGAACAGGAGATTTCCCGCCCTTTCCCCTTTGTGTAGTAGGTGAGTGCCAATGATCTACCTTTAGCTTAGCGGTTGAAATCGGAACCACTGGGGAAATGGACCTGCCCCCTTGGGTTTCTGAGATTGCACCTCCTTCCTA